GGGAGGGAAGTCCTGTCTGTCAGTCCCTGGACTCCCACATTTCCCTGCTGAAGCCCCACCTTTATATCATACTGTTGTGTCTTGTGAGGAATGCCTGGATAGGATATTGCTCTTTGTATATATCACAAATAGATCGCATTTACCTACACTAGGAAACTTTTACTAGCACAAAACAACAATTTTAAGATTGTATTCACATGGAAATACAATAAACATAACCAAAATGTCAAGCCGAGTATTTCCTTCGTGTTTATTAGCTACTACTCCCTCTTTGTGATCTGCTTATTCTCTAGCATGCAAATAGTCAGTAAATGCTGGAAGTTTAGAGAAAATTTATGAACATAAGGGGCGCCTAGGTGGCTCAGTCAGTTGAGCATCTGATTCTTGATCTCAGCTCAGCTCTTAATCTCAGGATTCTAAATTTAAGCCCTGTGTTAGGCTTCATGCTAAGCACGGAGCCTACTTAAAAAAAAAAAACAAAAAACAAAACTATGGGGGCCCTTGGGTGGCTCAATGGTTTAAGCATCCGACTTAGGCTCAGGTCATGATCTCGTGGTTCGTGAGTTTGAGTCCCATGTCAGGCTCTGTGCTGACAGCCCCAGAGCCTGGAGCCTGCTTCGGATTCTGTGTCTCCCTCTCTCTCTGCCCCTTCCCTGCTCTCTCTCAAAAATAAACATTTAAAAAACATTTAAAAAAAAGATTAAACAAATTATGAACATAAAATTGAGAAAACACATTAACCTAATTTTTGCTGGAGATGATGACTATTTGTAGCAATGGACACCCAGGGCCACAGGGTAGAGCCTGAGAACCCAAGTTCTATCACAGAGCTGATCACTGGTCAGAGGAGTAATGGAGCAGAGTGCTAACCAGGCCCCAACCCCTCTTCGACCAGAGCAGCAGTGCTGGAAAATACTGAGGTTCCTTGTATTTCACTTGGAGAAAGGATTCTACTAATGGGAAAAAAAAAAAAAATGTCCTTTTAGCATGGCTTCCCCCCTCTTCCAGGCTCCACACAAGAGCCACTCTCCCTCTCCACCCTCCCCTTCCCTTTTCCAAATTCATGTTGCACCAATGCTATGTGTCTTTGTACTGTTATTATCTTCTAAGCTCTATGGGTAGTGACAGGGCAAGAATTGTGTCTCATTCCTCACTCCCATCCCCATTAGCGTGGCACACACAAACACCAGTGAATACTTGCAGACTCATTTTCTAGAAATGAAAGGAGCATCCTGCCCATTATCACATCCACCCTACATTGACTCATTTGCCTGTATATGCTAGGTAGCCAGCTAGGCTAGGCTTGGGGATAGGGGATAAAACACAGCCCTTGCCCTCAAGGAACTGCTATTCAAGGGGAATGTGGGCAAATTGGCTGTCAGAGAACCTAAGTGAAAGCTAAGGTCCAAAGGAGGCGGGACCCTATACAGGCTAATGCCTGGAGCAGGGATGCCTGTGAAGAGTTCTAACTGCAAAGGTCGCCTGAAACAGAACTTGGGGGGAACAGCAAGTTACAACCATAATTTTTCGCTTTCTAATGGACCATTCTCATCAGCATGCTGTTACTTCTCTCACTAAAAAGCCAACCAACCTTCTCTTAATGCCACTAACTCCCAGCTACAACTTTTGTTCATCTTTATAACAAAACTCAAAACGGTGGTCTATGCTCTCCTCAATGCCTCTCATTTTCTAAATCCAAAAGGTCATTTATGAGTCCTCCTCTTGTCTGACCTCTCAGCACATCTGAAACCAGTGATCGCTCCCTTCTTCTTCACTTAGCTTCCGGGACACCTTGCTCTTGGTACTCCTCCTGGTGTACCCTCCCTGCTGTCCTCCCTTCTCCCAGACATCTTAACGTTGGTGGGCCCCTGGGCTCAATCTTTGGCCTGCATCTCTTCTATGTGATTCATCAGTTTTGACAAATGCGTATCAAGACACCAAACATTTCCATGGTTTTAAATACCGCCTATATGCCAACTACTCCCCAGTCTACATCCCCATTCCAGATCTTTCTCCAAAACTCCAGACATGTATATCTGTGCAGAAAAGATTTAATATAGCAGGCCTGAGACCACTATCCTTAGAAAGGCCTGCTTATAAGGTGGGCCCCCGGCTGGCATCTGGAAACTTGGGATTTCAGGACTCTCACCACTCTCAGAACTGGCAGGAGTAGCTCACCACTGTAAACTGTTTGTACAATTTCTTTTTTTTTTTTTTAACGTTTATTTTTGAGACAGAGAGAGACAGAGCATGAAGAGGGGAGGGGCAGAGAGAGAGGGAGACACAGAATCTGAAACAGGCTCCAGGCTCCGAGCTGTCAGCACAGAGCCCGACGCGGGGCTCGAACTCACGGACCATGAGATCGTGACCTGAGCCAAAGTTGGACGCTTAACCGACCAAGCCACCCAGGCGCCCCTGTTTGTACCATTTCTTATGATGAACACCTGCTTTCCTTCTGGGAGTCTTGAATTTTGGTACATGCTAGACAGAGAGTGCCTATATGACAAAAGCCAATAAACACCCTGGGCAAAGTCCCTAATGAGTGTCCCTGATAGACAGTATTTCACATGTCACAGTTTGTTGCTGGGGATTTAAGCCTGTCCTATTGAGTCCACTGGGAGAGGACTCTTAAAGGACTGCACCTGGTTTCCTCCAGATTTTGTCCCGTGCATCTTCTCCCTTTGCTACTGTGCTTTGTATCTTTCTGCTCTGATAAACCCTAGCCCTGACCCACAGCCAAGTCCTATTGAATCTTCCTAGTGAATTAGTGAACCTAGGGGTGGTCTTGGGATATTGACACAATAGCCAAACGCTTATTTGACATCCCTGTTACTTTGGGCGTGTAACAGGTATCTCAAGCTATACTGGTCCCAAAACAAACTCCTGACACGTCACCAACCCCAAATCTGTTTCACCTGTAGCCTTCCCCATGTCAGTAAACGATAACTCCACCCTTGTAGGTGCTGAGAACAAAAGCTTCCGGTAATTCTTGATTCTCCCTCATACCCATATCCAATATGCCAAGAGGTTATTATGTTGGCTGTATCTTCAAAACACGGTCCAGTATCCCATCACCTCTCACCACTTCCACTGCTTCATCACCAGGGATACTACAAAGGCTCCAGTAGAGTCTATTTTCCACAGACCAGTCATTCTTCCAAAAATAATTTATACTTTATCACTCCTACAAAAGCACGGAGAAGAGGAAGGTCCCTACTGTAGCTAACAGGCTCCATGTGATCTCGTTCCTCCGTTCCCTCTCTGACCTCATCTCTTGCCACTCTTACCTTTGCTCTCTCAGCTCCAGCCACATGGACCTTCCTGATGCTTCTCATATACAACAGGGACATTTCTGGTTAAGCTCTCTGTCCCAGCTGCACCCAGAACTCTTACCCCACACACCTGCATAGATAACTTATTTTCTTAAACTTTTTTTTTAAATGTTTATTCATTTTTGAGAAAGGAAGACAGACAGAACATGAATGCGGGAGGGGCAGAGAGAGGCAGACAAGAATCCGAAGTAGGCTCCAAGCTCTGGCACAGAGCCTGATGTGGGGCTCCAACCCATGGACGGGGAGTTCATGACCTGAGCTGAAATAGGATGCTTAACTGATTGAGCCACCCAGGCACCTCTCTTCAACTCTTAACTCCGATGTCACCTCAATGCTGTCTACTCATTCCAATTCTATTTAATAAGCTTTTTGCCCTCCCAATCATCCCTTACTCTGCTCTACTTTTCTCCTCTATAGCACTTATCACCTATCATATCATACATAATTTACTGGGTGTTTCTTTCTCTTTTTTCCTTTTTTTGGACTGTTTCCCCTAATAGAATATAAACTCTACCAGGGTAGAAATCTTCACCTGAATTTGTTTGCCTCTGCTGAATCCTAAGGGCCTCAGAAGAGTGCCTGGCACATGGTGGGTGTGCTTAATTAGCCACCGTGGAACGAAAGTAGATCAGGAGAACTGGAGCATCAGAATGAACCCAGAAAAGACCCCACAAAGTTGGGGCTCGATTGAAGTGCAAAAGGCTAGATTTCAAAAGACCCTGCCCATAGAAGTTTGGAATTGACCCAGAGAGCATGTGAACCATAGAAAGATCTTAAGCAGGGAAGTGACCCGATAGAAGTACATTTCAAAAGATTATTATTATTATTTTGCTAATCACGTGGACGTGAGTTGCGAGGATGAAAACGGCAGGTATCCCGGAGGTTTGTGGTGAGATCTTCAGGAGCGATATAAGATACGTGAATTAGACGAAGGCAGTAAGAAATCAACGTCTGGGAGAGAGGCGACGTTACCCTTGACCTGCGGGACACTGGGAATCGCTCCACGTTCTGAGCCTGTTCACTACTCCATTAAGAACCTGTCCTAACTGCTTTGCGGTCTACTGCAACTGCAAATCCTCCCTTCTCCTGGAGACCTCAGACTGAACACCGAAACGGGGTCGGGTTCCCCCGCATACTCCCCACCCCCGCGGGCTGCGCACCTTCCCGGGTCCTCAAGGTCAAAGGAAACTGGACACCTGCGTCCTCGAGCTCCGGGTCTGCGTTTGAAGCCAGCAGTAGCGGCCGGGCCCAAAGGCGGCGTGCCTCTGCGCGCCAAGTGCCCACGACCCCGCAACCCCCGGGTCCACGGGGCGTCCTGAGGCTGGCCGGGCCGGGGCAGGCAGGACGCGGCAGACTCACGCGGAGTCCTGGCAGGAGCGCAGGCTGGGCAGAGGCGTTCGCCGCGCCCCTACTTCACGAGTGCGCGCCAGGAAGCAACAGAATGGGCGCCAGACGGGGGCACAGCACGCCCGACAGGGGCGCAGTTACCTGCAAGTCAAGGCAGCTCCTCCCCCCGTCGATCCCTCCCCGCGGCCTTGCGGACGGGCCTCCAGGCCCCGCCCTGCCTTGCCCCGCCCCTTCCGTCAGCGCCGCCGCGGCGAGAGCGGGCCGGGCGGGGCGCACGGCAGCGGCGGCGGCGGCGCAGCGACCCCTGCTGGAGGTCGCTCTTCGGCGGACTGCGCGGAGAACAGGCCGGGCAGAGTGGAGCCGAGGAGGCAGCGCCGCGTGTTTATTTTCACGTGGCCCGAAAAGAGAGCTTATCTTAATGTAGTGTCTTTGGATTTTCTGCGGTCACAAACCCCTGTGAACATCTTTGAGAGCTGTAACGTTGTCTCCAGAAAAATGTAAGTACCCGCCAGAATTTACTGATAAAGTAAGGTAAGTTCAGAACATCTTTTCAAGACTAAAGTGATTAAAAGGTAACTGGTCATAACTGTCAGGCTTACCTGTCATGCAGTAGGTGATTAGATGGAAAAAAAAAAAAAGTCTGAAAATACTGCTTAGCCGTGGGCCTTGTAGAAACAGCTCTTTTGCGATGTAAAAAGATGAACCAGAAACTAAAGAACTTCCAAGGGACAGCCTATTTTATATGTGGACACATTAATGTTATGGGGATACATGCTCTGTTAAATTAAAAATAGTAAGTTTTTCCCCCTTGTTTTCGGATCATCCTCCCTTCTCTTTCCCTTCCTCACCAGCTCTAGGTTTCTTACACTATAAATTCTACTGCTTCCTCACTGATTCACAGTGGCTATTTGGTTGCATTTGAGCAATAAGAAAAAGCAGTTACAATTGTGTCAAATGTTGAAATGATACAACTTCATACATCTGTCAATTCAGTTTATAATGTTGACATTTTGGGTGATATATAGTTGCATTTTCTAGTTTAAGTCATTTGTAGAAGATTACAGATAAATTGTTAAATCTGCCAGTAATAGGGGTTAATCAGTATTATTATAAACTGACAAAATTACTGTATGATTATGCATGATTATAGGAGGAGATAAAAGAATACAGTGATAATGGGTTACATAGAATCAACTTGGCCACTGGCCTTTAAAAAAGAAACATTTCATTAGATGAATCAAGTTAGTATTTAACTTAAAATGCTAATTAATATAAAAAAACTGCTGTGAGATTAACAAGTAAGTAGTATGTGGGGGTTGGGAGGTACACATATTTGTGATTTGTAATTTTTTTCACAGAAACACCCAATTCTTGGGGCACCTGGCTGGCTCAGTCGGTAGGGCATGTGACTCTTGAGATCTCAAGGTGGTGAGTTCAAGCCCAGCTTTGGGTGTGGAGCCTACTTAAACAAAGAAAAAAAAAAAAAAAAAGAAAAGAAGAGAAAAGAAAAAAGAAGAAAAGAAACATCCTATTCTTTTCCCCTCTGGGCAAGAGCTCCCGCTGTAGTGCTTTACAGGGATGGTAGTTTTCACGAGGTTAGACCATGGGGTGGATTAGGTTCCCATCAGTCAACAGTGATACACTACTTCAAATCACAAAGGAGAATTTTAATTTAGCTCCAATACTTAATCTTACATAAAGAGATGAGTAAATCAGGTGGCGCCTTTGGTTGGGGCCCGTAGATGAATTTAAAGTTATTTTTTAAAGTTATTTTTTTAATGCAGGAGGAGCAGCCTCACTCTAAACATTGTTATTATGGGCTGGATTTTCTTATAACTTCTCTTCCAATTTATTTACTGCTTATTTATTTAAGTTGAGACAAATGAGCTGGAGCAGAAAGTCACCTTTCCACTGCCTCACCTTGCATATCCCAAACCTCAAGGTTAATCACCAAATATATTTTAAGAACAATCCATTACGTGGGGCGCCTGGGTGGCTCAGTCAGTTAAGTGTCCAACTCTTGAGTTTGGCTCAGGTTGTGATCTCATGGTGAGATGGAGCCCCGGGTTGGGTTGGGCTCTGCGCTGACAGTGCTCTCTCTCCCACTCTCTCTTCTTCTCCCCTACCCTCAAATAAATAAATAAAACTTAAAAAAAAAACTTTCTAAAAACAAAAAAAGGGAACAATCCATTACAAAGCCCCGCCCCTTCACTCTGCACCTTCTTGAGGAGCTCATTCTTTAGGCCCTGCTCTTTCCTGAATCATCAACCTTTCTCACTCTTCCAGACCATAATCCTGTCTACATGCAAACAATACACACAAGTCACAAGTTCTTATCTCACATACATGAGATATATGACATTTTTTTATTTTAAAAATTAATAGATACAATGTGATACTTTTTTTCACTTCATTTTATTTTCAAGATTCATCCCATGTTTATACATACTTTTGGGCTTCTTCATACCATTCATATATAAATTATTCACAGTTTATTTGTTTCCTTCCTAAAGAACAATTAGGTTCTGTCAAACACTGCAGCCATGGGCACTTCTGGGGGTAGGGAGTATATCACTGTGTGAAAGTTTCTCTGGGGTGTTTACTTAGAATAGGAATCTCTGGGACCTAGTGTAAGTGTGTTTTTCTTCAGTCTTACTAAAAATGGCCTAGTTTACATTCACATTACTAATTTACATTTGCACAAGCTCATGAAAGCCGTATTTCCCCCCATTCTTCTTAATAGTTCATATTATCAGATTTTTAAATATTGTCAGTTGTATGGATGGAAAATACACCTTGTTTTAATTTTAAACTTTCCCTGATGGTAGTGAGATTGAGTATCTTTTTATATATTTGTTGACTATTCAGATTTTTCTCTTCTTTATTTTTTTATTTTTTACATTTATCTATTTTTGAGAGAGAGAGAGAGCACAGGTGCACTCCTGCACAAGTTGGGGAGGGGCAGAGAGAGAAGGAGATATAGAATCCAAAGCAGTCTCCAGGCTCTAAGCCATCAGCCAGAGCCTGACGCAGAGCTGGAACCCACAAACCGCGAGATCATGACCTGAGCTGAAGTCGGACGCTCAACCTACTGAGCCACCCAGGCACCCCAGATTTTTCTCTTCTTTAATTTACCAGTTTAATCATGCTCCCAATTTGCGTTTATGATGGATGCCCTTGCATTCTTATAACATAGTTTAAAAAAAAAATCACATGCACGTTTCCCTAAATAATATATTGACTTATTTTGTTCTTGAAATGTGTATAAATGATGTCATGTTATAGGTCATATCGATGATGACTGTAAGTCATCAGTACCGTTTCTGTTGATAACTCATGCTTTCACTCAAAGATAGAGTTCTAAGATTCACTTATCTGTAGCTGGTGAGTTATAGTTCATCTATTTCTTTTACTGCTCATAATATTCCATAGTGTAGGCATACCATAATTTATTGTTTTTTTCTTTCAGAAGAAAAATGATTTTATTTTTTTTAACGATTTTATTTTTTTGCCAATATGTATACTTTTTCAGTCTTTTGTACAATTTTATTTTCTCCCTTCAATCATAATATGATATCCAAATTTTGTTTTAATCGGAGGGTCCGTAAACACAGGCTTATCCGGCCCACTTTCAGGCAAGGCAAATACTGCTTCTTGAAATGGTTCCACCATGGAACCTCTGGTCATCCAACCCGTGTCACCCCCCTGCTTGGCTTTATCTCAACGATACTGTGCAGCCACTTCACTGAATCTCTTTCCAGACTTTAATTTTTCCTCGGCTTCCATGATTTTGCATGTTTTTCATATAGAATGTGTCTGACCTTTACTGCACTGCCACCACCTTTGGGACCCTGAGCCTTCTTGTCAGAATGGCCACTCCCAGAGGCTGCTTCCCCTCCCCACCTTTCCCGGAACCACTTTTTCCTTTGGGTGGCATCTTTAAAACTTGCAGCTGACCTGCCTATGTGTATGTATGTTTGTGTGTGTGTGTGTGTGTGTGTGTGTGTGTGTGTGTGTATTTAATTTAACATATATATAACATATATATTATATACATTATATATACATATATAACATATATATTATATACATTATATATATACATATATATAGCTTAACATATATATGTATGTGTGTGTTTAATTTTTTTAGGTTATTTATTTTTGAGAGAGTGAGAGAGCAAGTGTGTACAAGCAGGGGAGGGGCAGAGAGAGGGAGAGAGAGAATCCCAAGCAGGCTCCATGCTGTCAGTGCAGAGCTGGATGTGGGGCTCAATCTCATGAACTATGAGATCATGAACTGAGCTGAAATCAAGAGCTAGATGCTTAACTGACTGAGCCACCCAGGCGCCCTTGTTTTTGTTTTTACTATATGTATATATGCATATATAATATAGTAATATATATAGTATATATTATATCAATATAACAATTATATTTTATATAGAATATATAATAATTATATGTTATATGTTATATATTATATACTATTATATATATATACATACTATATATATACATACTATATATATACATCAATGTTTTTTACTATATTGGAACTATCTTTCAAATATATTTAAGCCAAAATTTCTCAGAGGGTATCGATTAAGGAGTAAAATTACTGTAATTTTGAGTATGCATGTGCCCAGCCTTATAAGATAAGCCAAACTGTTTTCCAAAATGATTATTTGACCAAGCAGTATGTGAGACTTTCCATTTGGCTCATATTCTTGCCAGCAAGTACATCTTTACACTGTCATGCTGCTTAACTTTTACTAATCTAGTGGTGTGGAAGGGTATCTTGTTGTGCTGTGAATCTGCATTTCTCAGATTACTCATGAAGTTGAGCATTTTTTCACTTGCTTGTTAGCAATTTTTGTTTCCTCTTCATCTGTTTTGTCCAGTTTTTTTTTTAAAGGTTTTGATTTTTAAGTGATCTCTACACCCAACTTGAGGCTCAAATTTACAACCCCGAGATCAAGAGTTGTATGCTCCCCCGACTAAGCCAGACGGGTGCCCCCAAGAACTTCTTATTCTTAATTTAATTATAGGGGAGGAAAAAATTTTCTTTCCTTTATCCTCTTATGTTCAGTAACTGGGATCTTGCAAATTAAAGTGACAAAAGACAGATTAATAGGAGAAAAAACCTAGAGTTTATGTGTGCAGAGTGCATGCACACAGTAGAACTCAGTGATGAGCAGCTCAAAGGTTAGAAATCAAGGGATCATACACCATCTTAACAAAGGGCGGTAAGTTGTAGAGAAGGAAAATGGCATTGGGCTTCTAGGGGTGGTAAATTGTAGGAAGGGAAACACATGGGGGAAACTAATGGAAGAGAAGGGTTATTTTGGTAATGTCCGTTATACAGACTTAGTTTCATGCAGCCTTGGGGTGATAAGAGTGTCTCTGACAGTTCTCTTTTTCCTGGTATGGGAAAAGAGAAGGTGAACACATTAATAAAGGAAAAATTATAGCCTGTTTTTAGGCAGAAAGCAGGA